TTCCTGAGAAGTTTGTTGACGAGGATTCTTGTAAAGGAACCAAAGATGGTGTTGTATTCGGACTCAAGTAGTTCGAGGCAGTTGATTGCAAGAAAAGGTCTTGGTAAGGCCAGACACCTGGATGTTGATCTGTTATGGATCCTGCGGATAGAAGATCTCAAGATAAAACCGATCAAAGGAAAGGACAACCCAGCTGATCTGGGAACAAAGTCGTTGACAAGAGACAAGACCCGAAAGTATATGGTGACGATCGGGTACATTGGTGACTATCTTGAAGAAGGTGAACCAGTTGACACACGTGAAGTTGATGTGCGAATGGCACAAGGAAAGAGAAGAGTTGATGAAGGAAAGTTGCAAAGAATTATTCAAGCAGTGACAATGGCTGTGTTGATTGGTCTTGGAGAAGCTCACGAAGTAAAAGATGAAAGAAGTGACGAAGATGAACAAAAAGGCAGGACCGAGTATGTGCATGATTGCTATGGCTGGAATGTTGTTCATGTGCATATGCAGAACCTTGTTTACCGCAGCTGTTTTGCTCAAGAGCAGGGTTGGAAGAAAGGCTGGAAAGAAAGAGAGAGAGAGAGAGAGAGAGAGAGAGAGAGAGAGAGAGAGAAAGAAGGAAAAGGAAAAAAGGAGAAAGAGAATGAGTGGAGAAGGAAAGAAAGTGCTGCATTTTGCAGCCAGTGGCGAAATGACCGAAGAGGAGTACATAAACGAACTCAAAAGGTTGATTCAAGAAGAATCTCGGTCGATTGAATCGACAACGATACTGGAAGAATGGCTCAAGAAAGCGTCTCTGGAAAAATACGAAGACCCAAAGAAGATTCTTCAAGTCGTCAGAGAATTCAATAAACACAGGCAGGACAAAGAAACGCCTGAAAGGAAAGAAGGAGATGATGAAGCAGGTAAGCGATCCTACTTCGAGTAGCGGCAGTGACGACGATGGAAGCGAAGAGAATGGAGGCGAAGGAGCAAGAGCCTCAAGTTCCGTAAGACCAGAGGAAGATGCCGATAGAAGAAATGATGAGCTGAAGAAGAGACTGACTGAACAGCTACAGCAGCAGGAGGTTCACCCGCAAGCTCAGCAGATGGAGAAAAGAGGAAACGAGCTTCTGGAGTTGCAAGAAAGTGCGAAAAGGAGAAGACGCAATATCGCAAAGGAGGCTGTGAAGGCCAAGGCTAGTAAGCCTAGCGAAAGCAGCGGAAGTTCAAATGAGTGGGAGAAAGAAGATGAAAGGAAAGAGCCAAGAGAATCTGCTGAAAAGCTAGAAGAGCCTAAAGCTGCCGAGCAGGCAGAGGACCCAAAGGATGCCGACAGGGCAGAAATATCCAAAGAGGCTGAGAAGGCTAAAGAGCCAGAGAAGGCCGAAAAGGCAGAGGAACCTACGGAGGCTGCAAAGCCAGAAGAATCCAAGGATGAAGAGAAGGAAGAAGTCGACCCAGCTGCAGAGATGTCGATAGCAGATGTATGCAGAGAAAAGTACCACTTGAGCGAGAATGCCATAGAGATGCTATTGGAGGAGGATAAGCAAGAGTCCGTTCGTGCAGCACTGGAGATGCTGGAAAGCAGCGTAGACCAGTTGCCGCAAGGATATGGCAACCACCTGGAGCGACTTAGTGCTGACTTCGACAAGTGGACGACTGAGCTGGTTGAAACGATAGCTGTTACGGAAGACGAAGTGGAAACGAATACCATCAAGCGAGATGGAACACAGGATGCCAGGGAATTGGCACTCACTCGGAAAGCCGAGGCTGAACTCAAGAAGCTAGAGGCAGAAAATGATATCAAAGCAGCAGAGAAAGAGATCAATGACTACGACGAGCAGTTGGAAGAGATAGGAAAAGCAAGAGAGAAGTTAAAGGCAGGCCGTCAAGCAGTGAGGGAGACACTGCAAGTGTCAGAAAGAGTACTTCAAATGCTGAAGCATTTGGTAAAGCAGCTACGTACTGTTGGAAGCATCAACGAAGCAGTAAAAAAGAATTTGTTTCAAGATGAAGAAAAGAGGGGAAGTGCGCAGTTGCAGATCCTACGCATGATGATGCAGAAGAGAAAGAGTGGGACAGAAACCCCGCGAAGTATGCCAAGCGTTGCAGTTACAGATGACGAAGGCGAAGGCCGCAGAAAGCGAGTCCGCGGGACGGACGAGCCGAACGAGCCGGCAGACCCTCCTAGAACTCCAAGCACGCAGCAGCCGAAGGTTAAACCGGCGGCAAAAGTGGCTCCGGATATCGTAAAGGAGAAAGAGGTTCAGAAGGAAAGGAAGGACCGAAAGAGGGACCTCGAAGGAGTTCACGACAAGTGGTTGTTGAAGAGAGAATGGAAGGAAAGTCATGGAGGAAAGCATTGCTTCCATTGCGGGAGCGACTCACACAAAGCGTTTGAGTGCCCGACTATATGCTTGATGAAGCGAAAGAAGAAGGTGCTGAACAACTCTCGCCAGATGTAAAACGTCAAGGCGGATGTTGGTTGTTTTGCCGATTGTGCTTTCGAGCCAATATGGGATTCACCATTACTGATGACAATGGAAAGAAGCGCATAGCCGTTGGTTGGGGCAACCACACGGTGCAAAAGTGTAGACTCAACAAGACAGGAATTGACCCGTCAAAGCCTGATATGAGTCTGGTGAATCCTAAGAAGCCCAAAGTTGGAGAGAAAGTGATAGACATCGAGGCTGAAGAAGGAAACAAGAAAGAGAAGAGCACTACTGGCGCAAGTTCAAGTGCCAAACCGAACATCTTTACAACGTCGGATGGAAAAGTTCGTCCGAACCCAAGGTGGGGAGAAGAGCGACCTCGAGTTGAGGAAAAGAAGATGCCCAAGAAGGGCAAGGAAAGCAAGGACAAGGAGAAGAAGGAGAAGAAAGGCCACAAAGACAAGAAGCATAAGAAAGACAAGAAGAATAAAGATCAAGGGGCTGAGAGCCCGGAGAAAGGTTTTTCAGAAAAGGATGTGGCGGACATGTCTTGAAAGGCCTTGCGAGAAAAGGCCCAGAGGGCGAAAGAATGCTCAAGCCATGCGAAAGAATGCTCAAGCCATTTTGGCAATGCAATGGATGAGAGCAAGATTTGTACAGATTGTTTTCACTATGGACCGAACAGAAGCAGGTGAAAACAGTGAGGCCACCGGCCAAAGGAAAGAAGGTTTCACAAGATATGCGAGAAAGGAGAGCCGAACAAAGAGGTCTGTGTAGTGGACCCAGAAAAGGCAGATCCAGAATCGCTACGGCTATAAGCCACACGACAAATGACACTACGATACTTCCCGGAACAATGGGAAAAGGAGAAGTGAGTTTTTGCAAAGCTTTTGGAAGCCAAAGTCGCAACTGGACAAAAGCGATGGACTTTATCGCGAACCGCGACTTCGTCAAAAAGAGTGAGTGCGCTTTGTTCGTTTCACAACCGTTTTACAGGACACGAAGAGCCAGAAGGTGAAGAGAAGATGAAAGGAAAGGAAGGGCTCTATGGAGCATGCGAAAAGAGTTGAAGTTGCTCAAAGGAGCATGCGACAAATGTGGAAGTGGACTGTAGATGAATGTTTGAAAGTTCGAGTCAAGTCAAGGAAGGGACTTGAATCGAAGAGGGCGTAACAAACAATTCAATTTTATGCGAACCCCTTCGGGAGCCTAATTCACAATGTTTCACTCCGTAACGTCAAGGCTCAAGGTAGGCTAGAAGCGACGGTAGACAGCCCACCGCCGTCTGTGGAAAAGTGCGATAGTGATCCGGTGATCCAAGGGAACCTTAAAGTTTGGTTTAAAACTTTCAAAACGGGAGGCCAAGATGACCACTGCTGCATTGTGTGATGGCGTAAAGGTCGTCGAGGATTTCGCAAAATCAGCATTGGAATCCAAGAAGCTCGACTTCCCCACCTTCGAGAAGCTAGCATCACTCGTTCGACACCACTTGAAGTCCTCTCTATCCAGAGCCAGACCTCTTATGACACAGGATACACAATCGAGTTATC